GCATGAAATTAATAAAAATTGTTTAAAATTAATGTCTAGCCGCCAAAATGTAAGAAAACATATACAAAATCATACATTTTTCACAATTTTCTAACACTTCGCTACACCATCGAAAGCAAAATTCTGTTCGACAGAAAATTCGATACTCAACGAAAATTTCGACACGCTTGCATAGCTCATAATACGAATTCCACTTTCGATCTTCGATAGCCAGCGAAGATCGAAAATCGAATGCAGCTCATAATAAGGGCCTTTGTATTATTATTTATAGAATAGCTTTCGAAATTAATCTGTTTTAGCAGTCCAAATAAAGAAGTTTTACAGTAAAACCCTATACCTGAAAAACCTGTTGTATGGAGGATATAAATAGGTTACAGTGATCCGATCTTTGTTAATTTTACTGTAAACTTTCTGTTGGTAATTAGTGAAAATATTGCTAAATTTCATGTTTCTAGCTGCATATATGGAGAAGTTATAACAAAGAATCGAATCTGAACAAACAGTTGTATGGAGGCTATAGGTTATAGCGACCCGATCTTCGCCATTTTCACTGTAAGTATTGTTTTGATAATGGGTGGAAATATTGCGAAATATCATGTTCCCAGCTGCATAAATGCAGGAGTTATAACGAAAATTCTCATAACTGAACAATCAGTTGTATGGGAGATATATGTTATAGTGACACGATCTTTGTTATTTTAACTATAAGTATTCTGTTAACAATTAGTTTCATGTTCCTAGCTGCATAAATGGAGAAGTTATCGCAAAAAATCTCATATCTGAACAATCAGTTGTATGGAGGCTGCAGGTTAAAGCGACCCGATCTTCGCCATTTTCACTGAAAGTATTCTTTTTATAATGAGTGATAACAATGCCAAATTTCATGTTCCTAGCTACTTAAATGTAGGAGTTGTAACGAAAAACCGTTTATCTGAACAATCAGTTGTATGGGAGCTATATGACTCGATCTATGTAATTTTCACTCTAAGTTTTCTGTTGATAATGGGTGCAAGTATTGCAAAATGTCATGTTCCTAGCTGCATAAATGGAGGAGTTATCGCAAAAAATCTCATATCTGAACAATCAGTTGTAAGGGAGCTATATGTTATAGTGGTCCGATTCTTCCGGTTCCGACAAATGATTAACACATTGTAAAAATATACCCACCTACCAAATTTCATCCGGATATCTCGAAAACTAGGAGACTAGATTGCATACAAACAGGCGGACAGACAGACGGACATGGTTAAATCGACTCAGCTCGTCGTTCTGTTCACTTAAGTATACATTTTAATGGGTCTATCTCTTCTTATTCTGGTACTTACAAACATCGGACCAAAGTTCACCATTTCATGCTCATGAAAGGTATAATAACCAATTTTTTTATTAGATTAACAATTCAGGTCATCACAAATTCTTTTATATAGTACGTTTACAACAGTGATTGGTAGAATCTGGAAAAAAATGTGGTAGATTTCAAAAAGTGTGGTAGATCTCAGGTTTTGGATCAAACTTTACAAAAATGAGAAAAATTCTGTAAAGTTTCACCTAAATTGCAAACATTTTAATTAGAATCTAAGAAAAAATAATTTTAGTATAATAAATTGCAAGATTGAAGTTGCTAAAAATTGCGTGGAGTTTTGGCCATTTTTTTCCTCGACAGTGTAAAGCAGTTCATTCCATATGAAGATATTTTTCCAACATATTTTGAAAGATTTCTGCAACCTTGCGGAGTGCTGCCAGTTTTTTTTTTTATCACATCACGATGTAGCGAATAAATGTGGCACGTACCAGAAACCGCTACTTGCGGTTTGCCGATTTTGACAATTCTCAAGTAAAAGTAAACAACTCTTTAGAAACTTTAAATGCACTCAAATTTGCTAATACTTTCACAAAAATCACCGTTTTTTACCATGTTCGCTATTAATTCTTTTTATAAATCATATTTTGCAATTTAGCACAATAAAACCACGTTTCCTGTCGAAAAATTTAATATTCAACCCTGTTCTGCAATCCGATTCGAATCGGCGGCTTTTCTCTTGCTAAGGCATGAACAATTTTATCCACTTTGAGCAAAGTCTCCGCTCCATGAGCGTAATTATTTCTGAAATTATCTTGGAGACTGTGCTCCTTCCCAAAGCGATGCTTGAGTCCACTCCTTCAGACCTTTGATACCCACCTTCGGCGAGGAATCGCAGCGTTGCTGCCAATTTCAACACTGCGGGAATGGAGCTTCTTTGTAGAAAATGCTGCAAGTCTGTCAAAATCATGAGGAACGCTTGTTTATTTATTCTAACGAGTGCAATAAAGCTGTAAAATATAAATTAATAGTTTGAAATGGCGTTAGTATAAAAAAAAAACTTTTTATACTACTAACGCTGAGTCCGGTAATTCCATGGAATTGCTGTGATTGCGCAAAATTTTTCGCTTCACTTTTTCAGATGTTTGCTGCTCATTATTCAGCAAAATCGCCAATAAAACAATTGAACTCATGTTTATTTTCTCGGTTTCATTTATCCAAATGAAATTTTATTTATTTATTTATTTATTGACAGTCTTTAAGACCTATAAAAAATCTTGTCTATTACATTATTAACTTATTTAATTGAATTGATTGCTCTTCTACTAATACTATACATTAACATTTTTCTTATTTTCTTTACTAATTTTTACTTATTTTCAAATACATACTTTATACATTTATACATATTAATTTATTGTACAATTAATTAATTAATTATACGTACATTATAGCCTCGGGTTGGATAGCTGGCGAGGCCTAGTCTCCAGTCTATCTTTATGTTCAGCAGGCGGAAAGGCCTAGTTTCCGCTCTGCGTCAATAAAGGCGTTTACCATGGTCGGAAAGGCCGAGTTTCCGATCCACGTTCTTTTCATAATTATGTTGCTGTGAAACGGGCGGAAAGCTCTAGTTTCCGCTCCGTACTACGAACGAGCTGTTGGGCATGGTCGGAAAGGCGGGTTTCCGATCCATGCTCGTAACGTCTCTCATATGCTAGTATCTTGTTAGAATGGGGAGGCCCAATAGCAAAACACACTTCAAAACAAAGTTGACAGATTGGAGGTTTGTTCCTTTTTTTACACAATCGGATTCGATATTAACTTCGAAACAAAAGTTCCGATCGGATTGTGGAACACCATTCCAATTCCGATTCCGATGCGATTCCGACTCTGATTGCAGAACAGGGCTGATAGAAAAAATTTACTATTTTACTGCTTATTTTATCCTTCCATTCTGCCTGTTATTGGTGTTTAGTGTTGGACAATTTTTGCTCTTAAAATTAAGAAAATTATGTCAAGCAAAAATAAAACTACTCAAAAACGCCAATATATT